TGTGAAAAAGAGTATTCATGTCATGGAGGCTCAGTTTGGAAAGAGTACAAATACATACAAAATAATACAAAATACAAGGTTATGCACTCTAAATATTTGTATTTGTACTCCTTCCAAACTGAGCCGGAGGAACTTATTGGGTTCATTGTGAATCCTTTGAATAAAGATATATATCATAGAGAGTGATTTTAATGACATTTATTTTTCTCATGGTAGAAATGCTGGAAATTGCATCAAAACCAGCCTAACAAAGTTAAAACAGATTTTGTGATGTTTGCCTATGGCTCCCACTTCATAAATGTATATTTAGCCATGGTCCAATATGCAAAATAACCATTGTATTGCAGATTGGTGTACTAAAATTACCTTAAACTCATCCTTAACAAAATCTAGGCTTTTTTGGTATTGAATGTCAATCATATGTCTGCTAATGTCATCTATACAGCCAGTGCGGTGAGCAAGGCTTCTTCAAAAAAATTTCACCAGCAGATCAATCAGAGCCCAATAAAATTTTGTAATTAGGAACCAAATGAATGGAGATAGAAAGAGGCAGAAGAATAGGGAAAAGAATGAGATGGAAAATGGATGTTTGAAGAAATGACTTTCTTAGGTCTAGCTGGCCATCTCATTGTATTATAATACTAATAAGTGAAAAGTTACATAAATACCACTAATTAGTGATGTCAATATTCTAAAAAATCAAGAAGGTTACAGATGGAGAAGGTAATGGAGACCTGCTAGCATGAACACTAGAACATCAATAGTAACGAAGCACGAGAAAGACATTGTCACTCTCCCCCTCACCAAAATGCTGGAAAAAATAGAGTATCGTCTCAAGAAAAGTGACATCCATAGAAAAAAAATCCTAGATTCAGGTCAAAGCAAAAGTACCCCTTTTGATTTTGTGCATAGACAAAGAATATACACTTAATAACTCTTGGGTCAAACTTTGATCTTTTAGGGTTTAAGATGTGTGCATCACACTCTAACTGCAATAGGGAATAACATTGCCCTTGAAAATAGGAGGTTCAAAAGGATATTTGTACCAAAATACAGACAATAGCATCATATTTATCAAATAGATAGTTGTGTGAATAGCATCCCCCCAAAACCATATGGGTATGTAGTGACTAAACATAACACTCCTTTTGACTTCCAGAGATATTTCCATTATTTTTCTTAACCACCCCATTTTGCTAAGGATAAGCACATTAGTTTTGATAGATGACCCTATGCTCTAACAAATAAGCAGCCAATTTTTCCTCAAAACATTCTCAAACATTGTAATAACAGAAGATTTTAATATGTTATCAAACTAGATAAGAGCATCTGACAAAACTATCTAGTCAACTAGGGCACCTTGTCCTGTAAACAATACCCATGAGAATTTAGAGCAATCATCAACAAATAATAGGAAATCATGGTAGCCACCCATCACAATAATATGATAGGGACCACACGCATCACTATGCATAGTTTCAAAAGGAAGATGTGATCTTTTTTTATTACTAGAATGAAATGAGCTTCTACAATATTTTGCTAGTTGGCAATTTTCACAATTCAAATCAGACATATTAACAACCTTAAAGAACTTAAGAAATAGCAAACTCAAGGAAGAAAATGACAAATGAGCAAAACATGTATGCAACATCATTATTCAATCTGCAAACTCAGACACTACAATTTCAAACATGCTCCTCTTCAAGTGAATCTCTCCTAGGTTGAGCATAAAGAAGGTAGATCCCATTTGTCTCATACTCCTAATTATTCTCCTAGACTTCAAATCCTCAAAAACACAATGATCAAGGAAAATTTTCTGAAAATTTTAGGCTTTTAATAAGACTACTTGGATAAAACAAATTTGTGCTCAGTTTACAAACATGCAAGACAAATGGGAGAGTTAAGCTATTAGACATATTGATGTTCCCTTTCCCATAGATAGGGCCAAAGAGCCATCAACAAAAGAAACTTTGTGTATCAATAAAAAAAAATAAGAAAACAATAGAAACCTTGTGTTTCCAATAACTAAGCTGTTAAGAATGGAACATTGAAGAGACACTGGGCATGTGATTAGTAGATCTAGAGTCTATAACCTAAGGAGAGTTATTACCTAAATGCATAATTTGCAACGGCATGTGTACCCAAATGGGCAAAAACAGAGGTAGAAGAGCGGTGCTTTAAGGAACTCCAACCATGCTTTCTAGGTTGCATAGGTGTAGTGGTTGAGATAGATGAGGACTTCAAATCGTGGTGCAGCATCCAAAACATCTCTATGGTATGCTTTGGCCTTTTTCAAAAATCACAAACCACCTTCTTTACCTCAAAACCACAACCAACTGGTAAAACTGAAGACCTCAGCTTCATGGAAATATGGGCTGAAGAATCAGAATATGGTGCCTACAGAATCACCATCTCCTACTCTCCTCATTGTGCACTATTGAGTAGGCCTACATAGGGTAACATCATCCACTCACAATGTGCTGTCTGGTGATATCATACTCTTGATTCAACAAAACTAGAAACTTAAACACCATAATGCATTCCACCAATTTCTTGCAAGTCACTTCATTCATTGAGTTGTCCCATTCTACAATCTCCAAATATGACTAATTTCTTGCCAGATAGACACATTCAATGCGTAAAAAAAAAAGGTTTCTACAATAATATCCTAGATTCCCTTATATGTGGAGCTACATCGAATTTACAGCCACAAACAGCATTACCACATAATTCTCCTATACCCATGTAGTATGAAGTGGATTTATAGAAGTTGGCTCCACTACATTTCCAGTAATGCATCCAAGCTTCCCACACCCATCAATATAGATTCTTACAGACTGATCACACTTGAGATAATTGACACCATCCAACTTTACAATAATCACTAAGCCTCAGTTTGGAAAGAGTACAAATACAAATATGTACAGTACAAATGCATACCAAATAATACAAAATACAAGGTTTTGCACTCTACATATTTGTATTTGTACTCCTTCCAAACTGAGCCTAAAGAATTTGCAGTCAGCCCAATAATACTTGTATCAAGATTCTAATCCATGACTGCCTTGGAATCAGTCTCAAAAGGATCCACTGAATTCAAACAAACTCCAATTATACCTTTGAATAATCAATGAATCAATAGCAATAAATACCCCTAACATATAGTCAAGTAAAACCAAGGATTCTTGGGGTAAACCAACCTAACAACAAGAACAATGGGAGAGAAATAGTGGATGCTCTCTCCAGACACCCCAGAATCTCCTAAAACAAGCGACAATCTCAAAATAGGGATGAAATTGATCAAAAGAATCTCAAGTGCCAAATTCAAATGGGTTCCAGTGTACTCAATCCAGAAGCTTCTCCTATCTTTGATTTTTCATGATTTTCGGTCAAAGTTCTCTAGAATCACCTTCTAGGCATCCAATCAAATCAACCTCCAAAAATCCACCAAAAACCAGTCATTATGATCTCTACTTGACCATTCCTTCAATTTCCCATATACATTAATAATCCTTGTTATGTATGGGTCTTGTGTGCAGATAAGGGAGAGAGGTCATTGCTCGAATACCGATTTGTCATGTGTGATATCAGAAAAATAAGTAAATAAATGAAAAACAGCTCAGAATATAGTTGCTAAACAGAAGAAATATAAGAGAAGATATAAAAAAAAGGAAAAAAAAAAGAAGAGAGAAAGAAATCAGATTGTAGAGAAAAAGAACTAATGTGGGAGTAAGACCCTTTAGTTGCTACTTATGACTCTCCAAATAATACAGAATATTACAAATATTACAGAAACACCCCTGTCCACCAATAACATAAAACAGAAACAAAAACATTAACTAATAACTGTGCACTCAAGGGTCCACCCACTTCTACTTCGAATCTCTCAACAGAAGTTTTGATTTGTGAAAGAAAAGGGACTAGAAGAAAGGTATGTGCATGCAGATAAGTACAATTACAAATATGCCCCCTCAAGAATAAACGAGACATATAAGATAGTGAATAACCAAAGAGTTTGTACAATTCCATTCCATACTGAACAAGCCATAAGATATAACAGAAATGTCTAGGTCCCGGTTCAAGCTTCTGGATACAAACTTTGCTTCAATTTTCTGCCTCTAGTAGCATAAATATAGATAAAAGAAATCAATAAGATCTAAAATTTGAATAATATAAATAGTCACATACTACTGAAATTCATGGAAGAATCAATGAAACCCACTAAAGGAGTAACTAGTGGTGGAAAGGAATGGACAGGAAAAAGTTGCTTGTGAAGCTTCATTGATGTTCTCATCTTCTGTCAATAGAACCAACTGGACACCCCTATCCACCATTCAATTTTAATCAATTATGACTATAAAAGTAGAAAAGAGCAATGGGAACAGAAATAAATGCATTGACAGGAATCTAGGAGAAGTCATAATAGGTGATAAAATGAGGGAAATTAAACTAAGATAATTTGAGCATGTACATAGAAGACGACCTACTGCATCAGTAAGAAGAAGCAATCTGTTGTAAGTAGATGGTTCTACTAGGAGAACATTGAAAAAGACAATGATTGGAGTTAGTTAACCCCATAGAGTTCGGTTAAGGTTTTTAAGAGTTAAGTTGTATGATTTGCACAACATGGTAGAGAATAGAGTTCTGGATTTCCAATGAAAGTTTCCTTGGTGGAATCTTCAGACTTGCTCTCCCCACTGCCAACCCTCCCCCACCCCCCACCCCCCCCAAAAAAAAGACAGAAAAAAGGAGAAAATAAATTACTGATAGAATAGAGAACAATAGAGAGAAAATAAGTATTTTCCAAATGCACATGATGAATAAAACACGAAAGTACAACTTCAGAGTTCATCTTAAGATATGCAGGCATGAAAAAAGCAAAAAAGGGCAAAGGATCTCCACAGGTGCAATTACATGAAAGAAAAGCAATTAATGTACAATTCCTAATAAAAAAACAATAATAATACTACTATACTAAAAGATTAAACAAAATTAAATACCTTTGGCACTCTAGGCACAGTGTAGTGAAACAAGCTGGACAGCTAAGCACAGCATCAGAAGTATGGCCTTTTCTTTTTTTATGAACCCATCGTTCGTCTTTTTCATCAAGGTCTGAATCATAAAATTCTGGCTTGATAGAATAGTCTATTACATCATCATCAGAAACTGAAAAAAAAATTACACAATCAACTTTCCATTAATAAAATTAATTGTGGCTGATAAAAAGGAACAATAAGCAACTATTTGAATACAATTAATGTTGTAAATCTCACAAAACTTGTGGATAGGGATATTCTTGTCATAAACACAGTTATCCATGTTACTGTACCCATATGCTGAGAATATATAAATTTGAGAGAGAGATTGATAGGATTCATTCTCTCACATTCACGTAAACTTTTTTTCATTTATTGGTAACATTCACTTTATTTATTGTAAAAAGTGTCATAATTACAATGATTAATGTCCAGTATCTTCTTCCTTTTTAGTGATGGAAATCACCAGCTTTCCCAACATCACTGCTTACATCTATAACACCCACTTTTTTCCTTTTGTAACCTCCCAATATATTTCCTCCTTTCTTGAATACTTCCAGAACTGAAAACCAATGTCTGCAGCCAAAAGCTCTCCAACTGAATACAAAATCAGCAGCTGCGACTCAAGATATCCCCTTAGCACACTCTGTAATGTAGTTATCAATATCATACTAGGAACACTCCTAAAAGGTAAGTACCAGCAAAACAGTTCCTTCTACAACATTACAAAACCAGTTGGCCACAAAAGATAGGCCTCCCAACCAAGGAGGGAAGAAGAAAACAACAGAAAACTAGGTTTCAGATAAGACCGAGAGGTCTTTTTGAGAACTCCAACCAGAATAGGAAGGCTTGTACAATATAATCCAGCATAGAAGTTGTAGAGAGAAGAAAGAGGAAGGAACAGAGAAGAGGAGAGGATAAAAGTTGTTTCGGTTCCAAAAGAATAGAATGGTGGCACCCACTATTATTATTTATACTAGGGTAAGCAGGCAGTAAAGTGAAGTAAAAAGACAAAATTACCCCTGCAGCTACAAGTGCATATTACAACATATACCATGTAAAGATTAACATTTGTGATACTTTGTAGAGGAAAAGACCTAATGGCCATCTTTGCAGATCGTGACCATTCTAAGTAGTTTGTACCATCCAACTTGATTGTAGTAATGGTTCCAGCCCCAAAGAGATCACCAATTTCTCATAAACCCCAATGGCCATCTTTGCAGATTGTGACCATTCCAAATAGTTTGTACCATCCAACTTGACTGTATTGATGGTCCCAACCCCGAAGATATCACCAGCACCTCCTCCACCTAGTCCCATTTCACCTGCAAATTTGTTTTCAACTCCAAAACCCTCCATAACTCCCAAAACAAATTAGGAAATCAATTTAAGATGAAAAGAAAGAGATTTATCTCCTTTAGAAACCTCAAAGACCACCATATACTAATCACTTGTCCTTTTGTTGTAGGCCTTTGGAAAGAGCTTTTTGATCTTTTTGGGTGCAGGTGGACAGAACCGGAGCAGATTTGCAATCTTTTTGATCCTACAACTTTCAGGTGGCCAAAGAGAAGAGGAAGAGTTTTGTGGAGGTGTGTTAGAGCTGCTTTGGTGTGGACTGTGTGGGAGGAACGAAATGCTAGAATCTTTAATRACAAGGAGAGGGATCARACATGTGTGTTAGAAAGTATCTTATGTAGGGCCATCAGTTGGGTAAAATCCTTGGACCTGTTCTCATCCTACATTTTTTATGACATAAGGAGGAATTGGGAACAACTAGCTAAAAGTTCTACAGTCAGAAGCAAGCTGGTGGTGGATTGGAAGCCTCATGATGCAGGCTTCATTAAACTAAATTTTGATGGCAGTAGTTTGGGCAACCCGGGGCCATCTGGAATAGGGGGAGTCTTTAGAAATGGTGAGGGTCAGATTGTAGCTATATTTTCTAGTCCTATAGGGTGGGGAAATTCAGTAAATGCAGAACTCCAAGCTGTGTTACAAGGAGCAGAAATTGCAAAAGAGTTGGCACTGGAGCATTTAATGATTGAAGGTGATTCCAAATTGGTTATTGGATGGCTAAAAGAACCAGAGATGGCAGCCTGGCCATACAGGGGGGCTTTAAGAAGATTTAAGTGACTAACATCAAATATTTCAGTCACAGTTCAATGGGAAAGAAGATCGGCAAATGGACTGGCAGACTTCCTAGATAAACAAGGAGTACATAGGAATCARCTCTTTTGGGCTCAATTGTAAGCTTTATGATGTAGTTTGGAGGCTGCACCTCGCACCTCTTTGTGGGGAATTGTATGATGTACACTTAGTTCTTTAATTAATAAAATTATCATTATCTATCAAAAAAAAAACTCAAAGACCTTCCTGGTACCCTAGAAGAGATTTATCTCCTTTATCTCTGTGGGAGCAGAAGAAAGAGAAGAGGTTACCGCTCCCTCCAAAGTAGGGGTGAGCATTATTCTGTTAAAACCAAAAAACTGATCCGAAAAAATTCAGTTTTGGTTTTTTTCAGTTCGGTTAATTCAGTTTTTGGAAAATTCGGTTTTCAATTAAAAATTCGATTAACTGAAAAAACCGAATTAGCCAAAATTCATTATATAATATGTAATATATAATATATAACATATAACATATAACATATAATATATAATATATAAGGGGGAGAATGGAAACACTGGAGGAGAACATTCCTTTCCCTTGTATTAGTGATGAAGTTCTTCATAAGGAAGAATACAAAAGTGATCCCATCGAGGKAAGGTCGTCTTGTCATTCTAGATATTAGGATTCATTCTTGGAGGCGGAATATATATTATATATTATATATTATTATATACTAGTATATTATAATGAAATTCAATTTCATAATATATATTATAATATTTAATATATACACATATATTATACGTTATAATATACAATATTTTATGTATGTTAATGAAATTCGGTTTTAACCAAAATAAACAAAAATTGAACAAAAAATTATGGTTTCGATTGTTTTGGTATTCTTGTAATTCGGTTTCGGTTTAGTTTTTATTTTTTATTTCAGTTTTTTTTTTTTTTGGTTTATTTGGTTTGATTTTTAACCAAATAAACCGAATGCTCATCCCTACTCCAGAGGCCGCCAAAAAGGCTGGGACTTGAACCGCCCTCTTCAAAAAGCCTCAAGAAACCCTAAAAAACCAGAGCACCACTTCCTAGGTCAAAATTGAAGAGTCCTAAATCAGGACTCTTCCCCTTTCCCCATTTCTTCCTGATTTTGGTGCTAAACCTTAGACCAGTTACAAGGGATTGCAAATCCACCAAAAAAATCCAAAAAATGGGCTTACCTGATGTCCTCGATCAGCTCCTTACCTCATCATGCAGTCGGCTGATCTAGGGCTGCATGATGAACAGCTCAAACAATCTTAAGCTTCCTCTGATACAAAGTAGAAAAGTGTAGAAGATCTGTTTTGATATAAAATCAGTGTAGGAAGAAAAAAAGAAAGAGAAGAGAAGGTTTACGTAGAGAAGAAAAGATGAGAGAAATTGAAGAGAATGAGAGAAGACAAAAAAAATGAGGTCTGGCCACCCCTTTCATTAGCTTATATACTCACAAATAAAACTGAATACAAAGACAAGTATGCCCTTAGTAAGTCAGCTACTTGTAAAGTCTAAATAAACACTCTTAACTTAAACACAAACTACTAGGCTTGGGCCCAATAACTCCTTAACTATGCTATGTAAATAAAAACAAGCGATATCAGCCCAAAACTCAACACTTTCCTCCTCAAATTGCTTTTTGGACAGCAAGAGAGATTGCTTCTTTTGTTCAACTACTCGTTTCTAGGGTGAAGCTGCCTTGAGGGGCCTTAGTATGCTTCTTGATCTCATCAATTGACATAGGTTTCATAACAATTCTCTTTCCATTAAATAGAAAGTAAAATGTATTCTCTTTCCCACAATGGTATACATCCTTATCGTAAAGCCACGGTCGGCCTAATAGAATATGTGTGACATTCATAAGAACAACATCACACCAAATATCATCAACATAAGACCCATAGGAAATAGAAACAAGAGCTCTTTGTTCTACCTGAAGTGTCATCTTGTTTAACCAAGCAATCTTGTATGGTTGAGGATGAGGTCGTGCAACTAGATTGAGCCTTTCAACAGTTACTACAGAAACCACATTCATGTTGCTACCACCATCAACTATTAGCATCCAAAGCTTGTCTCCGTTGTTGACAAAGGTTAGGAAAATCATTGTACGGAGCCAATCTTCTTTCTTTTCTTCTTAGGAGGATGCTAAAATGCGTCTAACAACTCCAACAAGATTGTTGTCATCTTCTTCTTCATGTTCAGATCCAATGTACTCTTCTTCACCAAGGCCTCCTTCATCATCTTCCACTTGTCCTTCCTTCTCACTCCCTATGTGTAGATTTTTGTTTATTAGGGCACTGAAATGCATAGTGGTCCTTTCCACCACACTTGAAACAAGTATTTTCTGTTGTTCCCCTTTTATTAGCATCAATCATGATATTCTTCCCCTTGGTATCAGCTCCCTGATACTTGGAACCATTAGACCTTACTGGAACAGCATTATGAGATGTAGGTCTAGTGGCTCTACCCTCATCTAAACTCTTACATGCTGCTGCCTCCCCAGCTTGAATGCCAAACCTCTTACTATTCACTTGCTTCAAGCTCTTCTCTATTTTAAGAGCCATCTGAAAAGCATCATCTACATCATAAACTCGTGCAGTCATCATTTCTCTTTGAATATCAGCCCTTAAATCATTCCGAAATCGGGCTAATTTTTGCTTCTCACTTTCTGTAGATTGGCATCTAATAGTACGCTCATCAAACTTTTGCATGTACTCGGCCACAAATAAGTTGCCTTGCCTCAATTCCATCATCTCATCATGAAGAACATCTTGGAAGTCATTAGGCAATATTTCTCCTCCAAGTAATGCTTCATATCTTCCCAACGGGTGATAGGGCCCTTACCCATATCTGTTATATGTTCTCCACACTCCATCATATTTTTGCATGGTCTACAAGTTTAAGTTTAGCAAATCTAACCCGTCTCTCATCTGACATATCGAACCAATCAAAGTATCCCTCTAGTTCTGCCGACCAATTGGAAAAAGCCCGTGGATTGATCCTCTAAAACTTGGAACTTCTATCTTCACTTTACCAATAATATCATCCCAATAGTCATCGATATTAGTCTTAGAATGCTCCACCAATTCATCATATAAATCATTTATTGTCAATTGTAGCATTACTGATTGTGAAAAATGAATTCATGTTATGTACAAAAGGTTTGCTTTTCTAGGCTGGTAATACACCACCTAAACCCTTTTTACTTTAAATTTCAGATTTAAAAATAATTCTCATATGTTATCCACCAGTACATCTATCCCCTGTTAGCCCCCTATTTGGAAAGTGTATCAGCCATGTGATTTGCTGATGTTGTACCCATGTGACTGGTACAACCCTCTGGTAAGTGTTTGATTTTTCTTAATGTGTGTTATGTGCAAAAACTCACCCCTAAAAGCTAGCTGTTAAAGGGAGGGAATCCAAGCACATATATACCCCACAACAACATCCCATACTACCGATGTGAGACACTTCACATTAGCATCCCATGCTACCAATGTAGGACAAATGGATCTAACAGTGTGTCTATACTGCCAGGTTCCTTGAATTCTACCTTGCAACCAGGAACCGGCCCACTACTGCCTCTAGACCACTATATTTCTCAGCTCCATCCCTCTACCCATCCTTGAACCATATAATGCTACCATTGAGTCATCTCTCATGGCCGAATCTCCTATGCTAACAGATCCAGGCATTTCATAGCCGAGTCAACAAGGCCAAGTTCCGAGTTATCCATCGAGTTTTTTACCTCTTTCTAAATTAAAATTCACTGATACCCAAATTTCGCTCATAGGCCGAGCAATCACGTGCACATTCGAATTCTTCACTCAAACAGGAAGAAAACGAGAAGAGTGCCCAAAATTTTGACAAGTCGAAGATGGGGGTTTTAGGGTTGAAATCAGATTGTTTCAGAAAGCAGAATAGATTTAATCGAAAATCAAAACGCTAAAACACACAAACAGAAAATTGGAATAGGAGCTCCAAGAAAAGGCGGGAAAACTCACCCGTTTGCTGTGAATTAGTTGGAGAATCAACGCCCTGTTTTTCTTCGCTCTTCCCTTCTTCCATTTGTGTGTCCATGCGCGAGCGTGTGCACCGCGAGTGTGGACTGTGGCTTATTGATCTATCGATCATGGTTGCAGACACGCCAAGTTGCAAGATGGCCCATTGACAACTGACAAGATGATAATAATGTTTTAAAAACCGATCCGGCGGTTGAACCGTGTGTATAGGTATGTATATTCATAAATAACGTATAACTATTTTCTGTAATTAATATATGTATTATTCTATATTTAATTTATATTTTTTAATTTAATTTACAAAATTTTATTTATAAAAGTATATCAAAATTTGCGATTTGAGGCAAAAGGGTTTTTTGGACAAACCTAATTGTGAAAAAACAATAGAATTTATAAAAGTGGCATGACTTGTAGAACCTAAATTATGATAATGGTCATTGATGTGGGTTAGCTTGGCCTAGCCCACTAATGCCTGCTAGTGTTAGCAACAATTATTGCCTCCATACAGAGCCAATCACATAGTTGTCCGGCATACCCGCCAGGGCCTATAGCCTAGCCCCGTATGGATTTTATCTGGGGCGTTCATCTTCACCTATCCCCCGCGCATTCAAGTATAAATAAGAGGTCCCTTAAAAGGGGCTGGAAATGGAGTAACCCCAAGATCACTCACTCATTTACTTCCTGCACCTACATTGTCTACCTAGCATTAATTCAAGGAGATCTGGTGCATCCAATGACTCTCTCCATGAGCACTTTTGCACTCTCCCCTTCTTTACACATCGTACTAACTTGAACATCGGAGCCTCTGTCTCGGGTATCCACCTCGAGGCCTCTGACACTCTCTGTCTTGCAATATCTCAACTCACAAGGGACTTCGCCTCAACTTGTAGTCCTCGAAAGGAATACTTCACCTCGGTTTGCTGTCCTCGGCTATGGTCAACCTCTTCCGAGGTCCTAAGGTCCTCAGCTAACATTCAAAACCTGAAGAGTGAATTTACCTTATTGCCCTTGGCCAACCCGCGCGGCAACAATCATTATTTGATCAAATACGATTAAGAAACATCAATTTAAAGTTTAACGATGATTAACAATTAATTAATTGTGAATAACCATTTCATCTAAATCCATAATTAGTAGAAATCTCTAATGGTGCCTCTTCATAATATATTCAGATTGTCTCTCTCAATCTGAATTACCATTATCATGGAAATTCTTCATCCAATTAAATGCAATGCATTTTCTCTCTCTCTCTCTCAATGGCTCACTACAAGGCTCTTCGACAATATGCATTTTTTTGGAAAACAAAACAACTAACATGGTTATTTTTTGATGACACAATAGTTGATTTTGTTTTCAAAAATAAAACCAACTATGTTGGTGAACACCCCTGTATTAATCAACTACTCCTCTTAGACAAAGCATTAATGGTACATTTCTAAATTGTCAACTATATTGGGTAATCTTGCCTTACAAACAGCCTAACTTAGAAACCTTGAAAGTTTTCATTACAGGTTTGAAGCTCCTTCTTTTGACTTTCGAAATAGATTTTTGAGATTGTAATCTCTTGTTTAAAGTATAGGAAAGCTTATGAACCAAACTTATTCTTGCTATTAGTCTCCAAGGTTGTCTCCACATTCACATGTGTGATATTTTAAAGGCAAATTTCATAAAGTACTCTCTATGATTTAGGAAATTGACCAACTCTACCCTTACTATTTACAATTGACATCATCGTTAACCACTAATGGAAAAAATAAAATATCAAATTTACCCTCCACTACTACTAAAATTTTCAAAATAAAACCGAAAAAAAAATCAAGAATTGTACACCATTTGTCCCCTCCCTTGGTTCCGATCGCGTTCCAATATGTATATTTAGCACATAAAAAAGATACCTTATTAAATCAGACATGATAATCTCGATTGGATAGGGCTGATTCTGTATTGTATCTATTATTAACAGTTGGAACCGGGTCTACTATCATTCAGCCCAGGTCCAATACATTGGCATCCCCAAACCTCACGGTCGAACTATCCCACCAAAGAAATTGCTTCTCCAGAAATCCAGCTAAACTGATCACTTCGACTTATTAACAGTATTTTAATCTTATCATGTTAGTTTTTTTAGTGCAGCTTGCAATCAAACTTTCAAGTGGGATGACTGATTTAGGCTGTGTTTGGTTGCAGTGCAATTTTATTTGTACTAGTATAGGAGTGTAAATGAAAAAAAAAATGCAAAATGCCAAATTTGGTTTAATTTTGTTTTGGGTTTTACTTTATTTTGCTTTAGGTCTTATTTTACTTCACTTGTACTGCAACCAAACAAAATAAGGTAAATTTCGAGACAAAAATAGACCAAAATTTACACCCAAAACATTTGCACTGCCATAGTTTTGCATCAATGAATTTGCATTGCAACCAAACACAGCATTAGTTGAAGAGAAGGAGCATAATCGATAGATCCAATAACTACTGGTGATAAAACTTTCTTGGGTTGTTTCTTTCTCTTTCCCCTTTCTATCACCTAAGTTGGGCCTATTGCAATCTACTGGTCTAGAGCATTTTTTGCCCAGAAATAAAGAGCATGGTCTATGGCTCCCCAACTAACACTAACATGGAGACTGAGTCTCCGGTGAGAAAAGGTGGGCCAGGGCCGTGAGTAGTGGGAGTGGTGCCACAGGTGATTATAATGGCAGTAAGCATGAGAATGGAGAGAAGCCTTGGAGGAGGAGCAGTGGGGATGGACATGATGGGTAGAAAGAAGAGAGGGAGGCCAAGAAAGTATGGTTCATATAGGAGCATAGCTCTGGCACTCTCACTAGGCTATTCTTTATCTCCTTCCTACTTTTCTCCCAAGCGAAATAGAGGGGAATTTCAAGTGTTCAATGGATGTGTAGAAGATTAAATAGATACGATTAGAGAACAAGACATAAACGGAGACAGAGTCGGAGACAAAGACGGAGTCGGAGATGGAGTGGAACCATAAAAAGGGTATTTTAGGAATTTTAAAAAATATATCAATCACGTGATGTCACATGTGAACGGATTGTGACAAAAAGTTAAACGACAAAAGAGGTTTTAAACAATTGTCAAAAAACTTAAGGGTACTTTAAGACAATATGTAAACAACAAGGGCGAGTTAGTCAATTTCCTAAACCACTCGGGTAATTTAAGAAATTTGTTCTATTTTTAAATTAAAAGACTAAACAAACCTTAATTTGTGATAGAAGTACTCCACTTTTGAAAGAGGAAAATCTATGCTACCAAAAAGGCATGATGCCTAAAGAGCTTTGGCTAATCAAAACCTTCCCATGGATTTTGATAAATACCACTTGATTAGAAATGGCAATGGGGTCGGTTCAAGGGTGGGGACTACACTCCCTGTTCCCATCCCCAATTATTGAATAACCCCCCATCCCCACCCCTAATCCCTATCAGGGAGAAAAATTATCCCCCATCTTTGGCCCCAATGGGGAATCTGTCTCAATCGGGGACAACCCAACACTGGTGGGCCGACACCTCCATACCCAACCTGACTAGGTCAGATAAGTTAACTATCCAACAGGGATGGGGAAAATTTTCCTCCCCACACTTGATTGGTTACCACTTTTATGATACTGGTTAATTGGTTTCAAGTTTTTTTGATATCATGTCTTCTAGGTATTATAGTTGAACCCTTGTCTAAAATAAATACTTTTTATCATTAATACTAATGAATTTACATGATTAAACAACTTTCTAAGTGGGATGCCCCTAATTAAGTGTTTATTCCCTACCACCTTTCCTATTGTCTCTTTTTCAAGGAGCATTGCCTTCTTAATCTTTCCCTTTTATCCACTTTCATAACTGCTCTCTCCACTTCAGTTCTACTAGCAAATGTAAACATACTTTGCATGTGGCAATTTTATACTTAGATGAAGAGGAGGAAGTTTATGTCACATGGTAATAATAAAAAAAGGACAAAAATATGTTCTCTTAAAATGGTTTTTTGGGTATGTGGGTTGACCCAACCCACTCGTGATATATGGAATAGAAAAAGTATAAAGAACCATTGAGATTGGATAAGCGAGTACATATGAGTGAGTTATGTTGGTTTCCATCAAGTCTGGTTGGTTTCCATCTCCATAAAACATGCGATAGACCATGTCCCTTTTGCAAGGATTAGGGATGCAAATAGATCGGATCGGATTCGAATTAGGGTATATCTGAATATGATATTATGAACAGTGGATCTGATCGAATCTCATAAACAATGATTTGAATTCGAATGTGATGAGGAAGTTGAATATTCAGATCTGATCCGATCCGATTTATTTTTTTTAAATAAATTATTAAAAAATAAAATATACCAAATTTAAATAAAGAAAAACAAAAAATACAATGATCTTTTCAACTATTTTCATCATATATATTTTATAAAAAATAAATAATATGACAAATTTACAAAAATACAATATAAATACCCTATTTATAAATAAATAACATATATATGTTGTATATATCTATATAAATAAATAACATATATATCAGGTCGGATAGGGGGTGATCCGATTTCTAATTGATTCATATTATCCGATCTGGTCCAATCCGAAGATCCAAAATGGGGATATCTGAAATCGACTAAATAAGATTGGATCATGATTTAATCCATTTGCACCCCTAGCAAGGATGAGATCTAATATCAACCTCTTGTGAAAAGAATAAAAAAATATGGTATACCATCAAGATCCAATTCAACCTCTACTTCATAAGGTAAATCCCACACCTTTGGAAACATACCAAAAACTATAGCCAGATGGTTCAAGTTATAAGGCTATCAATAGAGAGGATCTAGCCGATGAGCCCGAACTGATTATAACGATGTCAATTTCATGACTTTGTCCCAATTAATTGGTCAATTCCGATTCTATAATCAATGTTTTTAGTTAAAAATATAAATAATTTAATGTTTTTCTATCATTTTTATTAATAGACAAATATAGTTTTAGTATAATTGAGTTTATTGGGTCTAAACCCAATAAACCCAACTATTAAGCAAGATTATTCTAGGTCTGATTTGTTGACTTAGTGGTTTAAGGGTCAATTTAAGACTTAGGCAAGTTACGTGCTAGGTGACCAAGGTTCAAATCACCCTAACTTCACTTTTTTAGTAGAAAGGTGCAATGTATCGGTGTATCAGCCAATACAACGCAATAATAAGCACCGGTATCAGCCCAATACACATGATTGGAAATATACACTTTTAGTCTTGGCGTATCTCATCCTAATTATGGTCGATACCGATATAATACACCCCATATCAAACTATCATATTGATATTTCAATCCTTAGTATGAAGATGATGAAGATTAATTAACTAGACAAAAAATCAATTAAAAACAAAACTATATTTGAGCTTTTTGCTCTTTTGCACACCATCTTATACAAGGTTAGTATCATTATTGTATCATACAATAAACTTGGATATGAGTGCATATTGTAATGCTCTTTGGTTACATATGGATGAACACCAAAAAAAAAAAAATGGATACACTTGGACATATTAGAAAAATAATTACAAATCCCACAAATACATGAATAATAATAAACATTGGTAAATTCTTTAGCTAGAGAGAAGACTTAGAATCAAATTTCATTGCCACTAAGGTTGGGTGCTTATGGGCTGATGGCATATTCCATTCAAAGTCTAGATCATAAACATTTTAACAATAATACATCAAACAATGTTTGAAATTCCAATCTAACTAAACATTCAATGGATTTAATGTTTTCAACAATAACACCATCTTATATTTTTTGCTTGCCATGAAAACCATTTCAAATATATAAAATAAATGGTCTTTTAATTATTCAATTTTTTTTCTAAAAAAATTAAGAGAAACCATTTTCAGCATAAAACATTGTTAGATAAATGAGTTCAAAATCATTTGTAGATCCATTTATAGTATTTCTGCAATGAAAATCATTTATAAATTTTCCATTGATAATTGGACAGCCTAAAGAAATTGTCAATAAAAATTCAAAAGAATCTGCATTTTTTACCTATGTCGTTGGTCACACAACCACCAAAATTTTTTCCATAGATGGTCACGAGTCATGACCGGTGCTACAGGTTATGTGGCAGTCATGACAAGCAGAACAGGTCATATCATCTTCCACCTATTGGCAGTCATCATTTTCCACCCATTCCACATATCCACACATTCAAATATGCCCTGTATCAGGCGTATCATGTCAATATTTTAAATCTTAATCAACCCCGAAACGAATAACTTGCCGATTGAAAAGCTTGCCCAGAAGAGAGGCGGATTCGAATCCCGCTACTACCACCTAGGTTGAAAAGTAGTTACCTGATAACAATAGCATTATTTTTCCATACTTGTTTGGTGTGGCACTGGTTCGTTTTCTACAGGCTCCAATCCAATATTTAATATAAAAACCATGTAGAAATACTTGCTGATGGATTTCGGCAACTCTAAGTAGGAGTATTAAAATGACATACGGTATAATTTCAACATTTAAACCACTCCATAACAAGAAGTCAAAAAATAAAAATAGAGGTCGTCAATGAAAACAATTATGCAAATGCAAATCAATTAAGAAAATTAATTGTCCTCAATTATGAAATTACAAGGAATTCTTCTGGAGCAGAAAAGGTATCACCCATTTTCCAAATGCAACAGCACTAATCTTCTATGTATATGATCCCTTTTTATGTCCATACATCGTTACATATTTGAATCCCTTTCCATCAAGAAAAGACTCGTCTAGAGGGGTTACCATGAAAGCAAGACTAGAAAGAGTTGTTCCTTGATCTCGAAAGACGTAAGAAGCTGCAGAGCATGAGTCCTCTATCAAATAAATGCTTTTCCTTACCATTTGACACCCCCAACTAGTAAGGAATACAACAAGTATCCAACAACCAAAACATATGATTTGTTTGTACTTTGTAGTAGTAGACATGAATTACATGATAGGCAACGTTAAATAAAACTAGCCCGGAATTACAGAATTATATATTACTTGGTATACAGGTTGCTTTAATGAAAAGAATAAGGCTCAGCCCATAGTAAATTTTTATTTCAAAGCACCACCAGGACAAGTCTGAATTTGTGCTAGCAACAAACAACACTAGGGTACATCACAGTTTTATTCCAGTCCTCAACAAATGGAAGTTTTAAGTTTATGCTAAATAATATGCACAAGTGCATTTTACATGTATTGGGGATGGTTGGCACAGAAAAAGCTATGTTCCAAGAGTTGTTTTATTACTATCAGATCTGCACTCCAAGACCTCAGAATTTCTATAACTTCTTGGTTCATGTCAATGAATGCATAGACATAATTTTTTTTTATGAATAATAATAAGTTTATTGATTCAGAAGTAAATTAGAGTGAGTTCATACATCATCCCAGTGAGAGGCGCGAGCTGCAGCCCCTCTTTGAAACTTACAAGTAAACTAGGAAAGAAAAACAAGAATCACAACTGAGCCCAAAATAATTCTTCCCTATTTACCCCTTGCTTAGCTAACACATCTGACAAGGTATTTGCTGATCTCCCCACCCACTGTACAGTGACCAACATATTCCTTGTCAACCAACTAAATTTCTTCATTTCATTCTTGTATCGCCACATAGCCTCTTCAGAATTTTTCAACAAACCCACCACCACTTTGGAATCCCCCTCGATTATTAGTTGTTGTACCCCCAGCTTTCCTTGTCAACTAACTAAATTTCTTCATTTCATTCTTGTATCGCCACATAGCCTCTTCAGAATTTTTCAACAAACCCACCACCACTTTGGAATCCCCCTCGATTATTAGTTGTTGTACCCCCAGCTGGTTTGCAAATTGGACCCCTTGTACAACAACTAAAAGTTCTGCCCTGATAGAATTCCCAATTCCCAAAACACCCGAGTAGAGCAACAAAATCTCTCCCTTCTCATTTCTCAAAGCACCCCCACTCCGGATAATCCTGGATTACCCATGTTGCTTTCATCAAAGTTCAACTTAATTGAGCCTTCGGGTGGAGGAGACCAGCTTGTAATTGATTTGGCCTTTAAAGATGAACACCTTGCTAYTGCTRACCAATTTCTCCAAATGTCATTAAAGGAGAATTGATGAAAGATTTTCAAGGTCTTCAGCCAATGTATTGCCCTGTTTAACACACAGTCTTTCAAATCTTGGTTATTCATTTCCTTATCTTAAAAAATTCTGAGATTCTTTTCTTCCCAAGGAGTCCAAGTCAAAGCAACACGAGTACATCTCCACATAATTCTCCCTATTTTTGTAGGCCAATAAAAGGTAGAATGGTTAAAGAGCATGTGAACTTCTGCTGGTAGACTCCAACTACCCCCAAACAACGGAAGTAGCCAAGCCCAAAGGTCTGCAGAAAAGGGACAAGATACAAATAGATGGTAACAATCCTCACTGTGAGCTTTACAGAGGACACACCAATTAGGAGAAATACAGAGAAAAGGTCTTCTCTTTTGTAGGTTGTCTAAAGTGTTTACTTTCCCATGGAAAACTTCCCAACAAAAAGCCATAATTTTTGGGGGGATTGGCCTACACCAAATTTCTTTTGACGGAAAGAGTAGGTGAGTAGAAAGTTGAGAGATGAACTTGAAAAAAGAAGCACAAGTGAAGGTTCCATTGGGTCTAGGAGTCAAAACCCTCTTATCTGGCTTGGAGGGATCCAAACAAACCTAATTAAGACACCCAAGCAAAAAAGAAAGAGACTCGATTTCAGCATCCCTAAGTCCTCTACGAAAACCAAAATCCCAAGTAGGGTCTAAGGGTGTTCCCAAGGGTGAGACAAATTTTGAGACCACCTCTTTTTTGTACAAAGAAATAGAAAAAAGCGAGGGGAACAAAACCTTTAACGGTGAATCCCCTACCCAAATATCCTCCCAAAAAAGGATAGAGTTGCCAGAACAAACTTCATACCTGATAAAATTGAGGAATTGAGGAAGGGTGTTGTGAATAGCCTTCCAAGGTGCTGCTAGGTTAGCTTGCCTTGATACACCAGCATCCCATCCATTCTCTAACCTCCCATGAATGCTTCCCACCACCTCATGCCACAATCTCTCTCTTTCCAAAGGTCATCTCCACAACCATTTCCCTAACAGAGCTTGATTCTTGCTAGTTACCCTCCCAATTCCCAAACCCCCATCTTCTTTACTTCTGCACACAATTTCCCAATTAACCAAGTGATCCTTTTTCTCTTGTCTCGGCTCCCATAAGAAGTTTCTCATCAACTTCTCCAGCTTCCTAGCTTCCCTAACTGGTATCCTACAGACAGACAAATAATAGGTAGGTAAGTTAGCCAATGTAGCTCTTATTAGGGTAATTCTTCCTCCTAAAGAGATATAGTTCCTCTTCCATGAGACTAATCTCTTCTCAAATTTTTCTAACACTGGGGTCCAAAATCTACTCTCCCTAGGATTTGGCCCTAAAGGAAGCCCTAAATATGACATAGRCCAAGCAGAGGTGGAACACTCAAGACACTCCGCAATAGCCTCAACCTCCCCTACCTCCAAATTTATACCTGCTGCGCAACTCTTTTCCAGATTTATTCTCAAATTAGAGACACTTTCAAATCCTTTTATTAGCTCCTTTAGGTTTGCTACCTTTTCACTAAGACCTCCTTCACAAAAAATCATTAGGTCATCTGCAAACTGAAGGTGGGTGACGGGGACTTGGTGTCTCCCTATTCTCCAACCCCTAATGGCATCTTCGCTGTCAGCCTTAGTAATGATCCTACTAATCACATCAGCTACTAAGGTAAAAGGAATGGTGAAAGTGGATCCCCTTGCCTGACACCCCTGCAAGCCGGAAAAAAATCCCTTACCGTACCATTTACCAGAATAGAGTAGTGACAAGTACTGATACACCCAAAGATCCAACTACACCACTTGTCCCCAAATCCACCATTTCGCATAACCTCTAATAGAAACTCCCAGTCCACCAAATCATAGGCCTTTTCAAGATCCAATTTACAAATGAATCCTTTCCTACTAGACCTTTTCATTTCCTCCACACACTCATTCGCAATTAAGATTTGATCTGTTATTTGTCGC